ATATATATATATATATAATGGGTATCAGCAGAGTGACTCCTGAATCGTCTTTAAAAAATAAATAAATACAATTTTAAAACAAGCGAGTAGCTAACCAGCCTCGGCAAATCAACATATAAAGCTCAACACACAAAGTGAACGGCAATTTCCAAGTGAAACAATTACAAAAAAAGCCAGAGTGGAAATGAATGCTATTCATAAATCTTGATGATTTAGTTGAGACATGAAAATGTGTTTGTTTAAGAAGAATAAGGGCAATCTGCTGACAGGGAACTCTCGTCGAGCCGCAGGCCATACACAGACGATCAGAGACAGAAATGAAAGCTTTGATGGAGCAGCTCTAATCTTCTACAGCACGACAGCCCTGATGCTGCTAATCGGGCGGAAGCTTTCCCATTTACCAGATCAAAACTGGGGGGGAAAACCCCGCCCCACCCACCAAAGCAGATTAGTGAGTTGGATTACGCTGCATTGACTGCTTCGTTTCCACCCACTGAACTGAAATGCTGCGTGTTGGATGGTTTTAGGGATTTTGTTTGTTTAAACAAGCTGTGTCAGTGGCAAACTCAGGGACAGAGTGCAGCTGTAGGCTGTAACTGGGAACCATGTGGCCTCACTGCCATACTGACCGCAGATTCAAACACAAACTGGATTAAAGATTAGAAATGAGGGCCTTATGTCTCAAACAGTTGTACATTTCTCTGTTCTATTTTTAAGTGGAGAGAGGCTGTGCCGGGCTTTCGCCACTAGGGGGCAGCAGAGTTCGCATGTTGCTTTGGCCGTTTTGCATGTCTGAGCCTGATTTGACTGAATGTCCACTGTAGTCCACCGGTTGTGGACGTTGGCTTCTAAAAACACATTTGAAAGCAACAAAGCATCACATCTACCCTGCCGTGGCTGTGGCCCTGTTTTGGGGCCGGTCCCCGCTTCTTATCGATCATTATCCGTCATCCGGCGGGAGTGTGTGTGTCCTGTCACGTACCCCGGAGGGGGGGAGCGCCCCCTGCTGGTGTCTAGGCAAAATGGCGCCTCCAGTCGAGCCGCCAACAGTCCTCTAGCTTGTGCTTAAACTTAAACTTCAGCTGTCTGGGTGTTGGTCAGACACACTAATGCTCACGGGCCTCACGCTGGAACTC